AATGTTGAATTTTTCTCAAGTGAACAATAACATGGAATAATAACATGCTCGTTACACGATGCTGCTCTTTCCCTGTTTGCAGGCGTAAAGATGGTACCGAAATAAATTTGTTTATTAAACGTTTGTTGCCCGTAGGTACTCTATAACAAGAATTAGGTTGTGTGGTAAAGCCAGTTGCTCTGAGTTACCATTTTTCCTGTCTTGTTGGAACATTGTTTACAGTACTTTGATTTCGTATTAACGTTGACACTTTCATTTTTTCTGAAAATATCGCCTTTATATTTGTTGTAGTAAACTAATACAGAATCTTTACACGATTGTAAGTACTCCAGCAGTCAGTAAAAAGACGAATCAGAAAGGGTTTGTGTCGGTTTACCGGCTGTCCAAGACATGTTGATATTTAGTGCGAACACTTTTCACTTCCTATAGACCGGAGTGAAGCAGCGGTAATCTAATTGGTTAACATAGAGCCTGAATCTGTCAAGTCGTCATCACCTTCCAGACTCCCGTCGCTCCCCATTAAGGAGGATTCAGGTGGTTAATGATCCACTGACCAATAAGGATTTGTCACCATGTCGTCCAACGCGGCCACTCAAGCCTTGCTTGACCATAACGGAGAATAAGACAATATCAAGAATTTGCTGTGGTGTGAAGGTTAAAACAACTGTAAATTATTCATTTGCGTTATTTTTCCTGAAAAACATATCATTGCTGCCGGTAGAATTTACAGCTTTTCGTTGTTCAGTGGTGTTTAAATAACGACATGCGATGTGGAATGATGTAGTAGTATTGGCACTCTTTGTCTAATGTAAAACTTATGACTAACATAGTACATCTCAACGCTAGCAGTAAGTCACATAAAATGAATTGTTTCAGAACTATAGTTATTGGTGACACACAGATCACAGAAATTATCAGAAGCTGTACCAACATGTAAATGTTTTTTAAAGTGTACGCACGAGCATTTTGCTTTAATATAGATAGGAACTGTTTTGGGAAAACATAAGTACGACTGACGACAAGGTGGCACGTAATTATTTGAATCATTTATGTATATTGACATCTTGTTTACAAGTTTATTTCCAGAGAAAGATTTCTGACTTTTTTTGGTTCATTAGCTATGCCACTCTCGGTATGGAACGGCAGGTTTCGTTTTTCGGACGTCATTACAGTTTCTTATATAACGTTCAAAGTCTTGGAAGGCATTTTACAACCTTCCAACAGTGATATGTGATAAAGTTAACAGAGCTGATCATGATTGTTAAATGTACTGACATAACAACACATTCGGTTAATCCGCCATATTTTGTTTCATATATATCCTCGTTTCTACACTTTGTTAATTTCAGATATGGATCTTGATTGTGAATTCTTTTAAGATTATGATAACATATGCATTTTTCTTTAGACGTTGCACGAGAGCGCAATTTATCTAGCACGCCGCGGTATGTCGTTAACACGCACTAAACATGCAATACCGGAAATTGGGCGTCCTTCGCTTTGGTAGCTACTTTTGTCTACATCCTTTACCGAGCAGCGGACACGTCGTATGAAGATAGCCTTTATGTACACCTAAACATCCAGGCGAGAATTAGAGATATGGCTTCATCGCGAAGTCGACATTAATGTAAAAATCATGAGCACTAGCTCTGGTGATTCCATTACCGGTGTTACATAGTAGCCGGTAGTAGTATTTGTGACCAGTCATTGCCCGCTTTAACCAACTTGAACGCTTTGCGCAGACGACAGTGTAAATGAATAAACCTTCTCATTTCTTTCAACAATTTGGATGAAAAAAATGTGCGAAAGCAAATGTGCGAGCTACCAACTGTTAACAATATTTTTTGTGGGTTCATCACCTTGCACGGAGGCCAACTGTGGCACAGATAGTATCTGAACATTGGGTGTTTGTGTTGGTAGTCGTCTGTGGGATCCACATGTACAATACTAACGTTGTAATCCCGATTTAATTACACACAGGAGTAGGTGTGGTGGTAAACTTTCCACACATCAGCATACGCAGTGATGGCCACATAACAGCTGACATAAAGTGTTATAAGATGGTGTGATGAAGCTTATTCCCTTGCAAGATGTCTGTTATTTATTTTGACGCCAACCCACTCTCTCCTCAACGGTCAAACCATAACAAATGGCAATCAATTAATATGCTAGCTATTAGTGACTTTGGCGACCTATTCCGTTAGCTGTTTGTATAGGCCTCGCTTCTTCAACAATACGGTAGTGATATACAGACCTTTACGTATACAGGGGATGAACAACTGACCGCTGATATTTATCTCTTATCTGACCCGACAGCCTATAGTACAGTAGACGGTGGATGTGATTGACATGCAATACTGATGCAATCAATAAGCTTTTTTGTGAATGTATACATTCATTTGAAGATTTAAAACGAGAAAACGAAAACTGAGGGCTTGAATCTTCCTCAGATCAACACCAGATGAAAATTTTCCATAACCCGTACTTCGTCTTGGCATGGATAATTTTCTGAAATGGGAATGAGACAGCCCGTGAACGTGCTCGAGAAATCTGTGCATTTGAATATAACGATTTGCCTGACGTCATTATAGAGTTTTGACAGAGACCTCGATTAGCACACGAACCAATTTGTCATCTGGCCAAAAGGAGCAGTTTGTGACATCGGTAACCACCTTCCTGTAGGAGAGCTCGTGTGATCACATGTCACTATTGGATTTAATAGGACGTTCGGATTGATGGACTGTCAGTTTTATCGACCGTAGAATACAGACATAATTCAATTTAAATAGAGTTCTGAGCGGTCTTAGCATATTTATTTTCAAGTTTATGATTCGATGTTTATTGACATCAGTTCGGAAGGAATATTGATAATAAAATTTTGGCATCTCAAGTGTGTCTTAGGGTGCAGTAGGACTTGTTAAGGAAAGGTTTCATTGGAGAAATCAACATTTTGGATGTTGAAAAATGACGACGTTATTTTAGATATTTTGGAACAAACACATCGAATAAAGCTGTTAGGTGGATTAATATCACTTCTAAATAGTGTATTGAATACGTTGTATTACAGATAAGGTAGAACGTGGGGCATTATCAGTCATCTAGTAAACGGTAAATCACATTGTTAACACTACAACATTAACCTTAAAAAACTGTACACGGCTTATCATTAGGGGATGTAACTTTAATTCGCGGAAGACAAATCAATGTTTGTTTCTACGGTGTGTGACCAACCTCATTATTTATTTGTTATTTACCGTGGTAGTATATTGTAGTAGAACTTCTCCCTAGATACAATCAAAGTCATACATTAAACTTCCGAACTGAATTGTTCAGTATTCAAATACGTAACGAGTCTAGAGGGAAATTACACCAGAATTAACTCGTGTTTCCAACAACGTAACGGATGAAGAAACAGGCGATGAAATCAAACTGAAGACATTGGGTACAACGACACGTAGACGGTGCTTTAGAAATAATCCAGCTCGTGAGGACAAAGGGTAAATCTGTCACTGAAAAGTAAAAGTATGTTACAGAAGTGTTAGTGTTCGTAACGTCACATGCTTCATTAAGTCCTCATAACTCCCTATTAGCAGGCAATATATTGTCAGGCAGTGAATACATATATGTACGAAACCAATTAGCACCACATGCTACAGGGATGGCGACATATTTGTAGATTCCGCTAGTTCCGAGCCATTCGTTCGTGGAATGGAAATTATTTTTACACACATTGGAAAAAGCTGTTTATGCTTCAGTGAATTCCAGTCGTGATAGACAGCAGAAAATTTACTGTAACGTCTAAGCTATTTGAGAATAGATTTCACGCCTCCGTGAAACTTGTAACTCGCATGTAACAGACGGAGTGAGACATCGATAGAACATCACAGGAGACGATTTCTCGTCCACACGATCAACCGGCCGTCAGGAATACATCAACAATATACTTTGTTGACAAAAAGTTCATTGTGTTAACACGTGTTGCTTTACCTGAATAACTAATCTTGTCTTCACGCTCAAATTTTATCAACAAGTGATCGCACCTTGGACATATGTTTGAAATGCGTTCTATGTGAATAACTGTGATGTAGACTTGTTTTTAACACGATGTCTTTTACGGAACTATAATTGCCAGTTTTATCGAACAATGTTTAATAAAAGCGATTAATAAGTCTGTACCTCATCGAGACCTTCTACAAGAAACAAAGCTCTGTCGCCTTTAATTTGATACATCTGGGATGTTAGTGAATGAAACCTTTATCACTACTGTGTCTGGTGTCTCCGCACGCTCCAACAAAACGTTCAGTGATTTCTACCGATCGCTTGAAATGTGGAGACCGAGATAAGAGTTTTTCGGCCATCAGCGGGAAACTTGTAAAAGGGTCGCCCCTATACGGGCGACTGTCTCACATTATATTTGTGAGAAAAAGGGTAGATAAAGACCGACATTGCGTCAAGCAGTAATTCACATACATGTATGTATCTAGACATCGCTACTGTCCCTACAACATACAGTCTCCCTAACGCTTGTTCGATATTGCTACAGTTGAAGGTGATAAGAGTTTTCACATGGACGTGTTATCGTTAAAATTACATAAAGTGGAAAGTGTACCCAATATACAAATAGTAACTGGGTGTGTGATAGCGTCGATATCTGCTATCACTACAATGTCCTATCAATGATAACACTGTCTGAGGGGTGGGAATTGTTTACAGTTTCCTTCGCCAGCAGAGGAGAGATTCTCCTCTAGCCCCAAGGCTTGCGATTTAATGGTGGCGGTTTTCAAGACACAGCGGTATACCAAAATTTAGGTACTTACTGGTACGAACACTCGCGCCATGTTAATCTTACTAGTTTGGAAGCTATTACCTCATGTGTTTCAGAATTAACCTAACATCTGATAGACTTAATGATCTGCCATTGGTATAGGCGTGTACACATTGCTTCAGTACTGTCAGCCTACCTCATGGACCATTGATCGTCATTCTTTGTCGTGTTAATTGTCTGTATATAATATGTATCTATATTGAAAGAAGAAGATGAAGACTTGAATCTCTACAAGACAACGTCTACACATTCATGAACGCCAATCTACCACTCTCTTGTTTATTAGATTACCTACATCCAATATGTACCACTGTGATTACACCGCCAGTAACACACAGTGCTGAACTGTCATCAAAGGGAAAGTAGGCAAGCGATTTGTGGGACGGAAGCGGAACTGTTTTCTCGTGCTCTTTTTCTATATGTCTGTGATTTGTTTGACTCGAACGCCAGGAATAACTTCATCACGGAACAAACGTCAGAACGGATTTGTCCACGGCTCATTCTGGGTCTGAAGAGCTCTTAGAGTGAATACGTTGTTCGCGTCCGATTGAGGATTAATAGCAAAGTAATAACCAAGTGTCCGCTGGCCCATCAATTAGGGCGGTGGATGGAAATCGATCCTAAACACGGGAATTGACAAATTACGCGGATATGGCTGCAACGTTCCTCAAACTTCTCGCTAAGGTAAATATGTCTTGTGTTCTGTCCAAATGTTTGCTCATGTAATCCTAATATTTTTAGTCTGTAAATAAGAAACGCACACACGTGCACATGTCTCTTTTTGTCAAAGCAGAGACTGGAATGCAGGTGAATCTGTCAATTCAGTATCAGAATGGAGATTCAGACATACGGATTTACGTTATTTAAATGAATTTGGGGATGGATCAATTTTGAAAGAAAAGAAAACTAGAGGTCTATATTTTCCGGTCAGTTATTGGCGATATTGCTGTGTAATGTAAAATTAAAAGTTGACAGACCCAATTGACATCAACATGATATATATAATGTAGATTTAAACCTTCATTGATCTTGGTGATCGATAATATTAATTCCTAATCAAGTTGATTGATTTTACTGGGATACTCAGAGGTATAGTTTTGCTTTGATGTCACTCAATTGTAAAACTTTGCCGATTGTAATTCTAAGCTAAACATATCGTTTGTATTGTAAATATTATCGTTTTCATGAAAGGCTTACTTTTCTGTCGAATCGATAGTATTGCGGATATTTTACGAACTTCTAGATGTAAATATGATCTGACTGTTAACCAAATATTATCTTTTACTAACACCTATAGATTTCCATTTATGTCGATATCTGTAAAATGTACCCTATCATTTTAGAGGTTTAATTACTGTCTCCTTGAGTTAATATGGAGGTCATATTTCTCCTTTATCGATAGAGATTTCCCGTGACTTCAAGATATCGGCTGCAGTCTAAAAGTCATAATTTATATAATGATCCCCAATATTTATGGATATTTGCTTTGACCATAGTTTAATAGTACTGACGTAAAGGGAACACTGTTTTCTATTTCCCTATTTGGATAACACAAATTCCTATACACCTTTCCGGATTTCACTCTTTTCTATAAACCTATCCGGATTTCACTCTTTTCTATAAACCTATCCGGATTTCACTCTTCCCTATATACCTCTCCGGATTTCACTCTTTCCTATATATCTATCCGGATTACACTGTTTCCTATATACCTTTCCGGGTTTCACTCTTCCCTATATACCTTTCCGGATTTCACTCTTCCCTATATACCGATCCGGATTTCACTCTTTCCTATATATCTATCCGGATTTCACTCTTCCCTATATATCTATCCGGATTTCACTCTTCCCTATACACCTATCCAGATTTCACTTTTTCCTATATACCTTTCCGGATTTCACTCTTCCCTATACACCTTTCCGGATTTCACTCTTTTCTATAAACCTATCCGGATTTCACTCTTTCCCTATATACCTATCCGGATTTCACTTTTTCCTATATACCTATCCGGATTATACTGTTTGCTATATATCTATCCGGATTTCACTCTTTCCTATATATATATATCCGGATTTCACTCTTCCCTATATACCTCTCCGGATTTCACTTTTTCCTATATACCTATCCGGATTTCACTCTTTCCCTATATACCTCTCCGGATTTCACTCTTTCCCTATATACCTATCCGGATTTCACTCTTTCCTATATATCTATCCGGATTTCACTCTTCCCTATATACCTCTCCGGATTTCACTCTTTCCTATATACCTCAATACCCGGATGTGCCTTTTCCGTTCCCATCATTTATGAAATATCGGGTCTCCGCAAGATTGTAGACATAGATAATATGAATATAATATTTGCCCTAACATCTTTAATGATTTGAGGTTTAAGTTGACCTTGCCTTGAAGTACAACCGATAACAAACTGATCACTTCCCTGCTAAAAGTACTGCTGCACCTGTTTTGTACTGTTCATGTCAAACAAGTCCCAAGGGAAAATCGGAAGCACTAACTTGGTTATTTTCTAGCCTTTGTTCTGGCTAACACTTCAGTCCCCACAGGAATTACTCCAGTCCAGAAATGACCCGAGTCCCGCCTCAGTCGTCACAGTATTGTTACAGTGGCTGGTATGAGATCACGATTGAATTACATATGGGAAGACATATTTCTTTAAATTTCTAAGTATAAATTATCAAATGTATCACCTTTTTGTCTGCTATGTTTTTCTGAATAATGATCATTACAAAAGTTTAATATTGACGGCCGGTGTGAGTGATGCCTATTCTGTAACTCTATGTAGTGACCCCGAAAGCTTGAATAATATATTTCCATTTGAATATTGGGTTTTTAAAATGGTTAGGAAAAACACAAAGTTATGTTATGATATATTGATCTGTCACAGGAGTGAACAGTTTAAATTATTTAGTGGATCTGATGCAATGTTATACATGAGTATCACTGCCTATCAGAATAGGGATCTAACCATTCCATGCCAACAGCTATAATCAACATATCGCCGTATTCGGTATGATTCAATTTCCGAGTTCGTTAAATTGTAGTTTCTCTGGACAGATGAGCTTGTGCGATAAAAATTAAGCAGAAATCGTAGTTATGTTTGGCTACTTAGCAAACCCTACCATTATCTATAAGTGACCCTCCAATGTCTGCTCATTAGGTCATTAAGTACCCATTGTACGGCATAAACAATGGCTTTTAGCATGTTGCTATGACGTCATAATGTGACGTATTGATTTGACGATTTCGTCTATAAAGAATGACTGGGCCATTTTTTGTAATTATTGTGTATATTCATTAGGTGATGGAAGTTGGATCTGGTCTACGGATTAAGTAATTACATTCCTTATAATTGTACTTTACTGTATGGCATCAAGTGTAGACTGATAACATTCCAAAATCGATATCTGAATAAACGTAAGCTATGATACATTATAGTACAGTATCAACAGGATATCATGAAAATTTTCTCATTTACGCTTGTCCGATCTGATTTTTGTCAAAAATGTGGTGTTAGGTATTTTTTATGTGCATCCTGCATGTTTCGATATGACGGTTGGGACTGTGAAGGTTTCGTCACACACTGTATCACTGTTTACCTGGATTTCAATCGAGTACCTAGGTTTAAATAATTTCGATTGGTAATCTGTTCACTTTAAACGCTGTAGCCATAAAACATGAAACATTCCGTTAACTATCAAAACTCATCCGTATCATTCATGTTCTATTGTAACACCTAAATAAATGGCACTTCTCAGTACAAATTTTAGATTAAGACATACTAGAGCCCGGCAAGGAATTAAAGCTGTTTCGTCCTTCTAGGACTCGTCAGTGATGCTATATCATACAGCTGTTTCGTCCTTCTAGGACTCGTCAGTAATGCTACATCATACAGCTGTTTCGTCCTTCTAGGACTCGTCATTAATGCTACATCATACAGCTGTTTCGTCCTTCTAGGACTCGTCATTAATGCTACATCATACAGCTGTTTCGTCCTTCTAGGACTCGTCAGTGATGCTATATCATACAGCTGTTTCGTCCTTTTAGGGCTCGTCAGTAATGCTACATCATACAGCTGTTTCGTCCTTCTAGGACTCGTCATTAATGCTACATCATACAGCTGTTTCGTCCTTCTAGAACTCGTCATTAATGCTACATCATACAGCTGTTTCGTCCTTTTAGGACTCGTCATTAATGCTACATCATACAGCTGTTTCGTCCTTCTAGGACTCGTCATTAATGCTACATCATACAGCTGTTTCGTCCTTCTAGGACTCGTCATTAATGCTACATCATACAGCTGTTTCGTCCTTCTAGGACTCGTCAGTGATGCTATATCATACAGCTGTTTCGTCCTTCTAGGACTCGTCATTAATGCTACATCATACAGCTGTTTCGTCCTTCTAGGACTCGTCAGTGATGTTACATCATACAGCTGTTTCGTCCTTCTAGGACTCGTCAGTGATGTTACATCATACAGCTGTTTCGTCCTTTTAGGACTCGTCAGTGATGCTATATCATACAGCTGTTTCGTCCTTCTAGGACTCGTCAGTGATGTTACATCATACAGCTGTTTCATCCCTCTAGGACTAGTCTGTGATGCTACATCATACAGCTGTTTCGGCCATCTAGGACTCGTCAGTGATGCTACATCATACAGCTGTTTTGTCCTTCTAGGACTAGTCTGTGATGCTATATCATACAGCTGTTTCGTCCTTCTAGGACTAGTCTGTGATGCTACATCATACAGCTGTTTCGTCCTTCTAGTTTTCGTCGTTTAGACTTCATAGAAGACTAAACACGAAAATACAAAGAAATAAATACGACTTAAGATTAAATAATTATGTATAGTAGTTGTGTTGTATAAACGAATTGTGTTATCTTTGGAATGGTGTCTTTGATTTTAAGAATTAAGAAACTACCCTCAAACACTTTTCATATTGTACTGTATGTGGAGTGACTATACGTGTAAACTTTCTCTGTATTTCAGGATTCAATTTACAGCAGGTCGGTCTGTTTATAAGCGATTTTTACATTTACCAAACTGTAACCTGTGTGTGTGTTTCAAACAAATGAAATAGATAAGGAAAATTAGAAATATTGATTTTCAACACCGATAAGAACATTCAGTCTATATTGATCGTGAATAGCATAGGTCTACATCTTAGATTTTATGACCATGTGCCAGAAATTTCATTAAAGTGAAATGTTCAATTATCAATTGTACTTAGAGAGAAGTTCATTTCAGGAGACATAATAATTACAATGATTTAAAAATACCAAAAACAAGTAGATTTCGTTATATCAGTGTAAAGAATTACCGATGTATCGGTACCCACCAGAATACAAAAAAGGGAAATCAAATTTTTCCTTCATTTCAAGTGTGTCTGAATTGCCAGGGCGGATCGAAATGAAGCCCAAGATCTATGTTAGTAATGTGTTTGAGTTTGATTCATCTACCAATTTATAACATATAGATAAAGCCGTTTCACCAATGTACAGGAATCGATTCCATGAATCTAATAAACGTTTATTCAGATTTCTGTACTGGAAGAATTTGACATGAATGTTATGTAACTGAGAACTTTATTGTATATCAGTTAACAATAGGAAAATATCAAACAAATAATAAACAAATAGAAAAATAGGCAAGAATCACATGTTGTT